AATGTTTTAAAACCGGCCTTTTTCTTTCCCCTGCCAATCAGGAGGGAGCAGCGGGGCCCCTCCCTCTGCCGATCAATGGTGGGGGGAGAGAGAGGGACTCGCGGGAGAACATACAAGAATAAAGAAGCTGCCGCGCACCCCACTTCCGTGTAAATTTGGTAAGTTCCTAAGAATAAAGGAATTGCCATTTGAAACAGACAGTGTATTTTTCCTGCTGGTGTAGTTATACCACATCCCCAAATGACTGGTCAAGGGAAGTGATTCTTCCACTCTATCCAGCCTTAGTGAGGCTTCAGCTGGAGTAAGGTATCCAGTTTTGGGAATCATATTTGTGGAAAGACACAGACAAATGGGAAAGAATCCAGCAGAGAGGAACAAAAATGATTAGAAGTTTTGGAAACATGATGGATGGGGGAAAAGCTGTAAGAACTATAAGAACTAGAATTATTTAGTCTAGGATTTAGTTTTATGATTCTTTGTAAATAACAGGAACCTTCTCTAACCATCCGATGTTAACATCAGCACCTTAGTGATGCATGAAAAAGTATGCCTTCCTGCTCACATACTCAGAAGCAAGATAGGCAGAATTTGGATATTTCTTCCACCACAATTTTCATTGAATCCCTCTTATTTCCTGCATAATGCCCACTCACAATCTTATGACAGGACACACCCAATGGCCTTGCACATGTAGAAGACACCTGCACCCACTGGACATTCTCCAGCACCAAACTGATTGCCCACAAGCTGCTGTAAATCCAATCTTGCAAGCTTCCAAAGAGCTACTGCACCCCCCTTTTCACTGTAAAAGCAGCTTTCATTTTGGTGCATCTGAGCTCAAAGATTGAGGCAAGCTCAGCAAATGACTCCAAGAATGTGGCCCTCTGTATCCTCTGCTGACTGTCTAAAATCTACACCACAATCTAATCCCGTCCCCGCCCCCTCACTGTGCTCAATTCACAGACCCAGGCACGCTGTTCCATATAGTGTAGCTGGTCACTGTGTGCCTGCAGCAGCTTGCAGTTTTCACTCACTGTCAATCATCTACTTCTTCTCAAAATTATCATTTTCACTGATGAACAACCAGCTGTTGTGGTAAACAAATTTCTGCAATGCACAGAATGAGACATGAGAGATCTGCTGATTTGTTCAGTGTCTGTGCTTCTGGCCAGCAAGATGGGAGATGCATTGAAAGAGTATGAGGATCAGATTATGAGGTCTAAAGGAAGAGCTGTGGGGAATGAATGAACCAGCACAAAAAGAAAAGTTATGGAATAGGACAGGGGGAGCTGTGGGAACCCAATTCCCAGGAAAGGCAGCCAGATGTACGTGCACTCTAACAGGGCAGCAGTCATAACACTTTCTAATGCAGACATAGGCTTAAAAAAGTCAAGAAAGAGCTCCAAAGGCTTCATGTTAACACGCAAACGCACCCAGTGTTGGTCTGAGGCCACAGACCAAGACTGACCATTCTGGACATTTAGAAATAATTCTGCATGTTATTTCATTCTGCACCATTTCATTTTTGTTCCTGCCTTTTTATGACTAAATTCTGTCACTTCATTTAGACAGGAACTTAAGTTTTTGAAGGGTTTACCTCCACCTGAAGTTATAATCTCAAGTGACAATTTCCACAACAATTAATTGCTTTTAAAGACTCATATTTTCTACCAATACCAGCAGAAACTCTTGTAAACAAGATTTCATTTGCAATAAATTGATAGAGGGTTGCCAGAGTTAGTACATCAATATCAGAGTACATCAACACATGTAGTACATCAATATGGGGAGAGGACAGTGAAAATTAGGCAGTGAGGTTTTATACAATGGATGCATTTTATATTACTGGCCAGTTCTGATTTGGTGGCAGGCTGCCATTGTCCTTTGGCATCCTAAAGGGTCTTTTTTCATGCATGATTTCATCATTTCTTCGCAATTCCCCTTTATTAAGTTTGATTATGACGAAAAGTTAAGAAAAAAAAAAAGATGAGATAGTATTGTCCTGATGAACTATAATCATCCCCAAAAATATATGAGCAGTACATTAAAAAAGGTCACAGGGCTAGCACATACACTGAACTCTGGTGAACACTAAAGCATGAACAAAAAAAGGTATACAAATCTTCTCATGCTGACAACATTGTCAGTTGGAAAAATATTCTATGTAGCAACATATATGTAAATATGAAATATGCCCGTTGGCTTCAAAATTACTCAGGGTTTGCCCAGGTCAAATGAATAATTAAGGACACACATTTCACAACAGCTGAGCTCGCTATCAGTTTTTTGCAGGGGGAAGGGGAGAACAAAAGTCACCTGTGTTAAGAAGAAAGAAACGCTAATTTGTAGAGGACATTTCCAATCTAATTATGATAGAAAAGCCTGAACTGAAGCCCACTGGCACATTCCCCAGGTTCACAAACACCAGTCATCATAACTTCATTATTGCAATTAATGCACTATATTCATCAGTGGTACTTGCTTTCTGTAACTTCCTTATTAACTCAAAAACATAACACTTAAGAAGCCAAGTTTTGTCTAAGCAACTCCTCTGAAGCTTCCATTTATGTATTGAGAAGCAACCTTAAACAAAATAAGATTACCTTAAGTGTATTTTTCAGTTTTTCTTGATGCTGAACTTCTATTTCCATTCTATTCAGGAGTTCATTTAAAAGAGACATCTCATGTCCGATTTTACATAGCACAGATTTCAAGGATGGCTCCTGATCTGTCAAAGAGGGACAAAGTACAAAATAAAAATAAACCAACAGCCCAGTTCACACTACAGGATTCTCCCACCCCATGAGCAAAGTCTGGCACATCCCTTCCCTGCTTTTTTCCTTCCCACACTGGAGTCACTGCCCTCCCAGCAAAGTTAGAGAGACCATGCTCTTTAAAGAGGGGTTAATATTCTCTTGAATAAAGTACTCAGTGCTATCCCAGAGAAGAATACTGCAGCTAGAACTAAAACTATCTGGAATATGATCTCGGCTAACCACATCAGGTCAGGGTTACAAATATGCCTTAAGGTTGAAAAAGTCAAGCATTCAAAAACAGAAAATACAAGAATTAAAATAGCCCGTGCATCCCTACCCTGGGGGTCTTCAAGAGGAGGTTAGATAGGCATCTAGCTGGGGTCATCTAGACCCAGCACTATTTCCTGCCTATGCAGGGGGTCGGACTCGATGATCTATTGAGGTCCCTTCCGACCCTAGCATCTATGAATCTATGATCCCCTGTACATACGCATCTGAGTCTTTAATTACATGATTGCATACTTTTTTTCCATAGCTGTATCCCTAATTTTCATTCGCCATAGCTACTGATCCCCCTTTCCTCCAAGGACTTATCCAATCCCTTTTGAATCTGGCTAAACGGTCAGTTTCCACAATATCTGATTGCAGTAAGTTCCACGCTTCAATTACATGCTGTATGAAAAAAGCGTCCTTTTGTTAGTTTTAAACTTACTGCCCGCTAGTTTTATTTTGCGATCCCCCAGTTCTTATATTGGGGGAGAGAGTAAATCAATCTATATTTCCTCTGTCTTCACCATCTAGTATTTTGTAAACCCTTATCTTGTCCCCCCTCAAGCATCTCTTTGCCAAACTGAATAGGGCTAGCCTCTTTAGTCTTTCCTCACATGGAAGTCTGTCCATGCCATTAATCATTCTTGCTGCCCTTCTCTGTACCTTCTCTAGCTCTTCTATATCTTTTTTGAGGTGTGGGGAGCAGAACTGGCCCCAAGACTCATTTTACTGAATACTACTGAAACCCTCCTCTGAATACAATTACATTTCCTCACAGGTTTATTCCATGGCACTCCTCACTATGCCATCTCTAGGGCTCAAACATTGGTGAATTTATTTTCACAACACCCCTGTGAAGGAAAATTGTGGGTAATACCCCCATTTTACACTTGGAAAGCTGAGGCACACAAAAATTACAGTCAGGAGTATCCACTAATTTTAGGTGCTCATTTGAGATACCTCGGCCCTGACTTCTCAGAGTACTTTGCATGATATGGAACTCTGCATATTCCATCACAGCTCTCCCCTACTTCGCTGCAGCTATCCGTGCTCAGCACTTCTGCAAGTCTGCCTATAGGATCTCAGCCACCAGCAAATGGCTTGATTTATGTGACATGTCTAGAATCACAGGAACACTGTAGTAGAAGAAGGGACAGAATCCAGGTCTCCAGGGCAGCATTCATCTGCCTGAGCCAGGAGACCCAGATACATTGCCAGAACAGCTCTTTTCTGTCTTGAATGAGGCACAGCCCTGATAAAAAAGTATGCGATCATAAAATTAAGGATTTTATCATGATGCACAAGGAGGAGGCTAAGGTTACATCAGCAACTTTAACTGGCATTTATTAACTTAAGTACTTAACTTTGAAAGCCCAACATTGTTCTTTTATAATTTTTTCCTGTTACTTAGATTTTTTTTAAAAGAAAACTGAAAAACAGAAATTGCACTGTATAGCAGCACACTGATTCTACAAGGTTTATCAAAGTTGAAGCCTTTAGATCTACTGCAAAGGTTTTTGTTCTTTTTAAGTGATCACAGTAACAGGTTTTCATCCTTATCCAAATTCTCTTTAACAGGGGAGGAAACCTACTTTGTTAGTGGGTTTCACAGCCATTTAAGGACCACAGAAGAATGGGGAGACTCAGGAATCCTAAGATCCATTGTAGGTCCTGTAAGGTCAAAAGTGCCTACCATTTTCCAAAGCTTAACTGCTTTTGGTCCTTTTCCCAAATCCTGCCTGCTCCCTACCTCTGGCTTCTTCTCCCAGTCTCTTTCTCCTTTCCTACCAAATCCGAATCTTCCCTCTAATCTCCTTGCCCAGCCAGTCCTATTCCCCTAACCCCCAAGGCCAAAGTTCCCAGCTCCCTTGATACTCAGTCTCTTATCCGCCTCACATCCAGCTCTCCTCCCAGGCACAAGCTCCTTGTCCAATTGAGTTCCCATCCTGCCCTGCCCAATGTCCTCTAACAGACACTGCTTCATACTCCTATTTAGAACTGGTCAAAATATTTAGGAAAATACTTCTTTTTCAGATTCATAAATGCCAGTCTATCAAAAGCAAGATCTTTGTGACAGGCGTGATATGTGACAGGGTCCTTTTCAACATATGTCCTATTAAAAAATTCTGTAAGTTTGAAAATTGTCTAAACATTGTTATGGTGTTGGAGTGATGTTTTAGCCATGATGGTCTAGGAATTATGCAATGGACAAAGATTTTTGTGGATAATAACTTTTACTGACCAACTGCTTGGTTGGGATAAAGCTAGACAAGCTTGTGAATGCAAGGCATTCTTGCATTTGAAAGCTGTCCAACTTTACCCCAACGATGAAGCCAGTCCAAAAAAGATATTACCCATAAAAATCCTTGATTCTATACCCTCTGACATTTTCAAAAGACAAAATTCTATGTTCCAAGCTAAAGCAACATTTGTTTTGAACTTCATATGAAAAAAGCAAATGTTTAAATCAGTGGTTCTCAGCCCTCAGAATCAGGGCACCCTTCCACCACCATTGGAACATGGCAGCACCCCCAGGTGAGAACAGTGCTGGTGCTGCCTCTGCTCACCTCAGTGCTTCTCAACCGGGTGCTGCTGCCTCCAGGTAAAAACTGTTCCACATACCTGCTGCCCAGGCAGCTCAGGGAAAGCTGTGGCACGTGCAAACACGCCTCCTGCATTAGGGTTCTCTACTAACCCTAATGCAGACAGGACAGCTGACTCAGGTTGTAGCCCTTCCTGGTCTGGCCACCCCACCCATGCTTTTCCCAGCAACAGAAACACCCGTAGGTGGAACTGCCCTATGCACCTGTCAGGAGGAGCATCATGGGGGCTGGACCAGGAAGGGCTACAGCCATAACTAGCTCTCCTGCCTACTCAAGGGTTATCAGAGAGCTCTAATAGAGGAGGAGCTTATGCACATGCCATGCCCCTGAAAACAAGGTAGTTTCACTTGGCTGCCACAGTGGCGGCACTACCTGTGTCACAGCACCCCAAAGGGATAGTGTGGCACCCTTATTGAGGACCACTGGTTTAAAAATTCAAAATCTAAACGAAGCAATTCAAATAAACTTTAGTTTACCCAATTTGAATATTCCTCCCCCCAGATTTCAACTTGTAGGACTGATACAAATTTGCAGCATAAAAAATTGATTCTTGTCAGCTCTAGTCGGAGTCTCCTTTTTTTTCCCCCCCACTGGTCCTACTCTACCCCATCCCCTCCCTCCTCAGCTCTTCATCCAAAAACCCCTCTCCCAAACAATGGACCCCCCCATCTCCATTACCCCTTTTCCATTCCTGTAGTCTCCTTGCCCAACCAGTACCAGCTGCCTTTCCTCTAACTCTCAGCCTTAGACTTTCCCTAGTTCTAGTTTCCCTTTTCTACTTCAGCTGCCATATCTTTGCCCAAACAGCCTCAGTGTCCCTAATACCCTGACATCCCAGTTAGTCTGTACCTACTCCAGTCCCAGTCTCACCACATCCCTTTTTCCAATCAACACGTTTCCCTTCTCTCTGCATGGAGCAGCCACTAGAACGAAAACCTGGCTTCGCTGGTGCCCTGGACTATGAGTGGGTACTATGCCTATAGTGGATACCTGCTTTGGTCAGTATGAGAATCTATGAGACACTCAGTGAAGTCTGAGTCTTACCTGCCAAAACCAAAATGGTCTACCCCAGGCCTGAGCAAACTATGTTTTTAAATTGGCCAAAGTACAGCAGATTTCACAGGGATGTCAAAAGGTGTATCCCTGACACAAAGGGAATAACACTACAAAATTTCAAGTCCCTGTTCACCAGTGAAGTCTAACTCTAAGGCTATATAAAGAAAAGCCTCAAAAGTGTGTGTGAGCGCGTGTATTCAGGTTCAAACAATGTGAAGTTATTATCAGAAATGGCTTGATTAACTTAGCTAAAATAAAAAATAAAGTCAACCTGGGTCAGAGACCCAGGGCAAAGTTTCAGCCCCAGTGATTAAAGATTTGCAGAATTATAAGCAATTGCCCCATCTGTCTTACAACAGAAAGATGATCTGAATAGTAGATAGCATTGACATCATCAGTCCCATGCATAAGAGCATCATTTACGTTTACAAATCTATCTAACATTATGCATAGCTGATACTGTTAAATATAGCTACATGTATTAGTAGATTTTTCTCCATTTAAGTCTAAAAGAATTGTCCTTTCCTATTAAAGAGCATAATCATACACAATAGATTCTTGCATCGGTTAGAAAGAAAAGAAAATTCTGCAGAATTTCAGCTGTTTTCCCGTTCTGCCACACCAGAATCAGAAAGTATTTTCTTTAGACTGAGAAGGGGTGATAACATTGTATGTGAGACTTCTCTTGTTCCTCCTCACCTTACTCTTTGGCCTCTAATACTTTCCATGTTATTTCCCCTCACAATACAAGTAAATTTTTGTTCTCTCTTTCTAAAAAGGAAGACATGGGTGGACCACCTCATCTCCAGGTGTCCCCCATACATTTTTCTCCATGTCACATCTGAATTCACTGAATCTGCAGCCCATAACTCCTGCCTTGAATTCATGTGTTCCGGTTCTGTTTGGTGCCCCTCTTTCATTC